GCCGTGGGGCGGGCAGGACATGCCCTAGGGGCCATGGGGCGCGCGTGGGCGCTGAGCGCGGCCTGGCTGCTGGGCCGCGCCGTCGCCGCGGCCACGGACGCGCCGGCCCACGGGAGCTCCGTGGACGTGAGTGTCGCGCGGCGCAGGCGGGAGGGAAGGGAAAACGCCGGGAATTGGAGCGCGGGAGCGGGGGAGGGGGGGGCTGAAGGAGGAGGGGGCTGAGGTGTGATGAAATAGCAGTGCTCAGCTCAGCGCTAGGGCGTTTATCTCAGCCCGTCCTGCTCCCTGGGGAGATGGAGGGTGCCCGGCTGCAGGACGGGGAGAAACCTCTTCCTGCGCGTGGTGACTCACGCGGTGACGGGCGGGTGGCGGCTCCAGCGCCGGCTCAGGGTGCCCGGAGCGCTTGTGGGGCTGGGGCTCCTGGAGCGCTTGTGGGGCTGGCTGTGGGGCGGCGCGAGGGTCTGGGGCTGCGGGGCAGGGCYGGGCGCTGCGGGACGGGGATGCGGCCCGGGAGGCGGCGGGGTTGCGAGCGGGGCACGAGGCAGCACCGGAGCTCGGTCAGGGCACCGGAGCAGCGTTTTGGACATGCCGCCTCCGCTCTCCGTGGGTGCCGGACCCCTGCCCGCTCGCAGCCTCCYTCTTCGAGGCCTAGCGCTATCGCGGCACACGATGCCACGGTGATGGGCACGGAGGGCAGTCCTGCTCGCACAGTGTGTACGATGGCACGGACCAGGGGGGAAACTGAGGCAGGGGAGGAGGACGTGCCCCCCGCCCGGGGCAGGCACCCACTTCCGCGCCCTGCCGCAGTGCTGGGAGGTGCGGAGACGCAACAGCTCCGAGTGGTGCCGCTTCATCCGCACCAACCCCGACTGCCAGCTGGAGGGCGGCTTCCTCGACTACCTCGACGGCATCTTCTGCGCCTTCCCCGCGCGCCTGCTGCCCCTCGCCGTCACCCTCTACGTAAGGGGCAGCGCCGCGGCGCGCACGGGCGCTCGCGCCGCGCTCCGCGCCTCACCCTGCTCYGTCCCCGCAGGCCTGCTGGCTCCTGTACCTCTTTGTCATCCTTGGCGTGACGGCGGAGAAGTTGTGAGTAGCCTGGCGGGGTCCTGGCGCCCGCAGAGGGCTCGGCCTGGGCCCCACCGTCACCGGCTGCCCCCTTCTCTGCCCAGCTTCTGCCCCAACTTGTCGGCCATCTCTACCAACCTGAAGCTGTCCCACAACGTGGCAGTATCCTTGGCGCTTGTGTGGAAGGAGGGATGGGGAGATGGGGACAGAGACAGCTGCGCTGGGGCCACCTCTGCACYGAGCTGAGAGGAAACTCTGCAGAGCATGAGTGGGAAAGGACCGAGGAAGCTACGGAATCTCCATTCTTGGAGATGTTCAGAACGTGCCCTGGGCAATGTAGGTCACTCTGCTGAGCAGGGTAGTTGGACTAGGTCTCCATCCAGCTCCTCAGCTGTTCCCCCATTCCGTACATCATGCYGTGCCAGTATTGGGAGAAGATCCTGTGGGGCCGGTGGGAGCAGAGCCCACATGTCCCCAGAGCCCACGTGTCCCCAGCTCACCCCATGGAAAGCAGCCAGTGGGGCCTTTTCCTTGACATCCGCTCTCCATGGTGTCACCTTCCTGGCGTTCGGCAATGGGGCTCCCGACGTCTTCAGCGCCGTGGTGGCCTTCTCTGACCCACGCACGGCTGGTCTGGCCATCGGCGCCGTCTTCGGTAGGGCCCCCCTGCCCTGCTCAGGGTCGGGGATGGGGACACGGGACAGCGGGGCCACCGCGCCAGGAGGCCTCCCCTGAGGGGCACCCTCTGCGTTGGCAGGCGCCGGCGTGTTCGTGACCACGGTGGTGGCCGGGGGCATCGCCCTGGTGAAGCCCTTCACAGCTGCCTCCAGGCCCTTCCTCAGGGACGTCATCTTCTACATGGTGGCCGTCTTCCTCACCTTCGTGGTGCTCTACTTGGGCAGGATCAGGCTGGGAGAGGCGCTGGGTGAGTGGTCTGCTGGCTGCGGTGGCAGGGAAAGGGGACGGTGCGGCCGGTGACGACTCCATCCCTCTCTCACAGGGTACCTGGGGCTCTACATCTTCTACGTGTTCACCGTGGTCCTCTGCACGTGGCTCCACCGGCGGCAGCGCAGGGATGGGCTGGCCGCTCCCGGGCCCTGGGAGCCAGGTAGGGGACGTTGTCCCCATGGCGGTGGGAGCCCGGGGGGCACYGCTCACCGCTGCTCTCCTCGCCCTCCAGAGCTGCTCACAGACCCTGAGGAGCAGGAGTCCACGGGCACCGGCGACTACGGTAGGAAGCACCTTGGGGACACCAGTAGGGCCGTCTCTGTGGTTGGGGATCGGGGCACTGGGGACCTCCAGGTTGCCACCCAACCTGGGTGCCATCTCCACTGAGAGATGTCCCCTGGTGGGGTAAGAGGCAGCGGGGAGATGACGGGGACATGTGGGTGCCGTGGTGGCCACCGCGGCGCCCTGGCAGGAGCAGGGGCGCTGGGACAAGGYGCCCCCGCGCCGCTCAGCGCCCGGCCCCGTGCAGGCGAGGAGTATCGGCCGCTGCTGCCCTACCAGGAGGGCTCGCTGCGCATCCTGGCCGCGGCCCTCAGCCCCGTGGACTACCGCAAGTGGAGGAGGAAGCCCTGGTACTGGCGGCTCTTCAAGGTGCTCAAGGTGAGTGAGAAGCGCGTGGACCCCGCTCTTGGCGCACAGCTCCCCCAGCCCCACTCAGCACCCTCCTTGCAGGTCCCCGTGGAGCTGCTGCTGCTGCTCACGGTGCCCGTGGTGGACCCCGACAAGGAGGACCTCAACTGGAAGAGGCCCCTCAACTGCCTACACGTGGTCACCGGCCCCCTGCTCTGCATCCTAACCCTCAAGTCGGGCGCCTGTAAGATCCGTCCCCTCCCCGGGCTGCCATGTGCCCCATGCTGCTCCCTCATCTGGGAGGGGATATGGTCAAAACTGCCACCAAAGGGGGCAGAAACGAGGCTGCCAGGCAAAACGGCGCAGTTTCTTACCTGTGGCCCCTGCTGTACTGACAGTCACTCTGTTCTGGCACGTGTAGACGGGCTCTACCAGATCCAGGGTGTCTTCCCCGTGTGGGTGCTGGTCGCGCTGGTGGGCACCGTTGTGGCCGTCCTGGTCTTCAGCACCACGAGCAAYGAGGAGCCCCCCAAGTACCACTGCGTAAGGGTTGCCCCGGGCTCTGTTCTGGTCCCCACACTGTGCACCCAGGTGGTCCCCAGGGCTGGGGACTGTCCACGGGTGCCCCAGSGACCCGCTCGCTCCCTTCCCGGCAGATATTTGCCTTCCTGGGATTCCTGGTCAGCGCCATGTGGATCAACGCGGCAGCCACGGAGCTGGTGAACATCCTCCGGACCCTGGGCATCGTCTTCCAGCTGAGCAACACYGTGCTGGGCCTGACGCTGCTGGCCTGGGGCAACAGCATTGGCGGTGAGGGGACAACGGGGGAGCCTGCTGCAGCCCCAGAGCCTGCAGCACCTCTGGACACCCCCCCCGAATGTCTCCCCGTGCAGATACGTTCTCGGACCTGACCATGGCRCGGCAGGGCTATCCCCGCATGGCCTTCTCCGCCTGCTTCGGCGGCATCATCTTCAGTATCCTTTGGGCTGGGAGGATGGGGGTGTGTGGGGCAGGGGATCSCAGACCGTCCCCACACCCCAGGGGAGCAGGGCAGCCCCATCCCGACTCCGCGGCCGCTTCTCCCGCACCGTTTATCCGTCCTGAGCTCAGCCCAGACATGCTGGTCGGYGTGGGGCTGGGCTGCCTGCTGCAGATGAGCACCAGCCACATGGTGGTGAAGGTGAGGCTGCTGTCCCATCCCTCACCCCGTCCCGCGGGGGGACACAGGCTCAAAGCTGTGGGTTTCTCCCAGCGGTGTTTGCAGAGAGCCCTGCAACACTGTCCCTGCTGCCAGCAGCACCTCAGGGTGCTGTGACCGGGGGCAGAGCGGCCACCGCTCACTGCYGTCCCTTGCCCCGGCAGCTGGAGCCCGACGGCCTCCTGGTGTGGATCCTGGCGGGCGCGCTGGGCYTGAGCCTGGCCTTCTCCTTGGTGGCGGTGCCGGCGCAGTGCTTCCAGCTGGGCAAGGCCTACGGCGCCTGCCTGCTGCTCTACTACGTGGCCTTCCTCGCCGTGGCCCTGCTCACCGAGTTCGGCGTGATCCGCGCGCCCTGAGCCTCGCCGCGCTGCCTCCCTGCTCCAGCGCAGCCAAGGAAGGGAAGGGAGACGGAGCTCGGGCACCACCTGCGTCCTTGGTYGGCCTCTGGTTCCTCGGGGACAGGAGCAGCGTGCGAGGCCGCACGGCGCTGCAGCAGCTTGGAGAAGGGCGCAGTGCAAGTTGGGGACTGTCCCCCCCAGCAAAGGACACCCCGTGTCCGGGGGTGAAAGGAGCAGCCGAGGCAAAGCAAGGGAGCTGAGCCAGTGGAAAAGCACCAGGGCAGCCCCGGCTTCAAGTGCATCCTGCAGAGGGAAAAAAAAATAAGCCCTGGAGCCCCATTTCTGCTGCCTTTCCCAGCTCTGTTTTTCAACCTGAACTAACTTTTCTTCTCTTAGGGCACAGACAGCTGTAGCAAATAACTTGATACACGGAGGTTTCCACAAACCAACCGCTGGCCTCAGGGCACATCTAGGTTTAGTTTGGACAAAAAGACTCTATTAAAGCCCCCCAAGCCCCCCATTCCGCCCTTGCTTGAGGCGGGCGCCGCTCGCGGGCCGGGATCCTGCTGGCGCTGCCCCCCGGGCGGGCGCAGAGGTGACACGGGTGGGAGCGGGGGGATCATCCTCACGCGGGACGGGCGCTCGGCCCCTTTGGGGAAGTGGCTCCTCGTGGCCGAGCAGCGGCCGTTTCTCAAGCGCGGTCACGTGCGGCCACCAGGCCYGTGCCTCTCGCTCCCGAATCAGCCCCTCGGCGCACGAGCAGGAGCAGCTTCAGCTCGCGCCAGGTCGCAGGCACAGCTAGAAAGCAGAGGGCCCTCGGGTCGGGCTGCCCCGTTCTCGGGGCCCCTGCGGTGGTTTTGCAAGCGCACAACGGCCCGAGCGGCTTCTTGCAGCTCCCGCTCTTCCCCCCCTCGCCGCGKTTCTCCTTTTCCTCCCTCCAAACCGTTGCAGCTCCCTGCACCTGCTCGGAAGCTCCCAGCAGCTTCTGCCGTTACCCCCAAGCGACACCCCCACAGCCCCCTTCCCTCCCGCAAAGCGGGGCCAACAGCGCAGCCACCCCCAGGGCCGCTCTCAACGCTCCCGTAGGAGCCTCCCCAGCCCCTTTCCGCCCTTTGCTGCAGCACTAGAGGAAGCTTCAAAAGCCACAAGCGTAAAACCACGCTCTTACTGCTGAGGTTTGACACCAAGACGCCAGCGCAGCCCTGGGTGCCGAGTTCACACGCTGCCGGCTCCCGCTTCCGCCGGCACGGAGCGGGAGCAGCCGCTGCCTTTACCAAGCCGAGGATGCTTTTTATTAGTGTGCTTGAAAAAACACATCTAGAGAACATTTTTTACAGACACGTCCATAAAATCATTTTTTTTTTATAAACAAAACGCCAGCATACAAAACCCTGCCGAGCTTCCTCCCTTGCTCCCTACAAAATGATTGTCCGTGGGGTTAGCCCGCGTGCCAGGTGGGGAAGAGGAGGACAAATAGAAGGGGATGCCCCGTACTCAAAACTTCTTTTCCTTCATGCGGAAGAAGTCAACTTCTGCGACCCTCCTTGCTTTTAAGAGCAATAAGTATTTCTTCACACAGTGCGTGGAGCACGAGGGCACGGCCGGGAGCAGCGAGCTGGAGGCGCCAGCTCGAGCGCTCTCCACACCACGGCAGCAGCGCTGCCCCAAGCACAGCCTGAAGCTGCAGCTCTTTCCCGCCTGGGAAACACCAGGAAAAGTCACCCCGTGAGACCGCAGCGAGGCTCCTGCCAGACTTCCCTGCAGGGASAAACGGGCTGGAGGGGAAGGAGGAGGGGGGAAAACACTTTTTTCTTTTTTTTTTCTCCTTCTGATCTTCACAATCTTTGCTCATCCTGCCCCCAGCTCAAATCAGAAGAAACAKCTCTGCTCGCACCAGGTCTAATCTGGACAGAGCCCGCAGGCTACAGGCGCATGCAGAGCAGCCACACGAGTGGCACCGCTCTGCTCTGTGAATTCATTTGCGGGCAGATATTTTGGAAAACAGCCCTTGAAGGTCCTTCACGGTTCAGTTCAGAAGGAGTTTCRTGCCAAGGCTCCTGTGGCTCCCAGACAAGAACCTACATGTTTCCCTCAGAGCACCCTTTGGTGGCTGCTCACCCTCGGTTCACCCAAACCCTTCCACTTCTCTATATGGGAAGTTTTCAGAATTACATACTTTTGAAATCTATTCACCCTTTCCTTGAAATGCTCCCTAGCTTCCCAGGTGGGATCAAGGAGCAATTTTAAGGCTTCTCCCTCTCTCCTTGTGCCACATGTTGAGGTGACCTGTAAGAAATCAGGTGCACAGTGCAAAGTGAACGGCCACACAGACCTCCCGCTGCCCCATTTCTCTGGAGGAACGAGAAAGCCTCTCCAGCTAGTCCTGCTCTTCATCTGGACCCAAGAACAGACTAAAAAGCAAAAGAGGAAGGAAACCTCCCAGCTGACACAGATACTTTTAACCCTCAAAGTTTCTGTGGTGAGAAAAGAAAAAAAAAAAAAGGCATTTACAGCAACAGTCGTTCTCACCGCTTTGTGTGGGCAATGAAACACTGTGTGGGCAATGAAACAGAGCGATGAAGCAAACGCAGCCACAAAATACATGAGTGGAACTGGGGTAGGATCCTATCCTTTCCGGCAGCCTCCTTGCTAGTTACAGGATTGGTGGGAAGAAGCACCGTCATCCACATTCCGACTTCTCCCTCCAGAATTCAGAGGAATGGTAGAGCTCTTCAGTAGAGGAGCTTCCTGGGATTTGTCTCCATCAACTCTTAGGATTTGCCACCAYGGGGAACCGTTCTGCAAGGGTGAGAACAAGGGAGGAGCTGCTGCTTTAGGACCTGCATAAAGCCAGGACCTGGCTGAGGATTAACCAGCAGTGCTCTTGTACAGACTCTGCCTATAAGCTCCTCTTAACCCAGACGGAGCCAGAACTACATCACAGACTTGGAGCTGTGACATCCTCCCCTTCCTCCTCATCCTCTAGCTGAGCTAAGGAGCAGGCAAAGATCTGCCATTCGCAAAGGTCCACACCACTGCCACCCTGGGCAAGCAGCCGTGTCGCCAAGGCGGGACGAGGGCTTCAGGGGGTACGCAGTCACCCAGTGCTGGGCAGTGCCATGGGAAGAACTGACCTGCAGAGACAGAGTTTGTCCCCCAAACTCCTGTCCCACCTGTAGCCTGGACGCCCGCRCTGCATTCTGGCTCCAGCTGCCACAGAGCTGCTCGCGGGCAGCTAAATTCAATACTCAGAGCTAGAGCTGCAGCAGGAGTGCACGTAGGCATGTCAGAAAGGAGGGGAAASCAATTGCTCTTCTGAAAGTGCTGAAATTTCACACCACCTTCCCTCGGTTTGCACATGGAAGGGGCAAGAAGAATCAAAACAAACGCATTCCCTGATCTTCTACACCTAGGTTAATGACACCCTTCGAAAAATTGCATCTTCAAAAGGGCAAAAATTTTAACATTATTAAGCAGGTGGCTTCGGCGCATTTCCTGCTGTTAATGGATTACCTATCTCTTCCCCCAGGGCCTGTTAGTGGTAAGACAAGCAACAGGTCTGAGCCTGGGAAGCAGGTCAGAGGGAAGAGGCCTCTGTGCTGCCCGAGATGCTCCTCTGTGCTGAGCACGGGCATCACGCTCAGCTTGGTTCCTGCAGTCTCACACAGAGCCCCCCGGGCCTCTGTTTTTATATTTTTCTTTCTTTTTTTTTTTCTCCTTCCAGCAATTCACTGCCTTGAAGAAGAGATTTAAACCCTAAAGCCAACCAGGACACTGACCAGACCTATCTACACCATCCGATACATACGCTGTGAAGTAATACTCTAGGTTATTGCATAGAGGGCGGCTTGCGTTAGCTAGGCCTAAATGACAGTCTGGGAGCGGTGCCGGAGGCTCAGRGGCTTCAGAGGGTTGTTGGAGGCGGGTGCAGGTTCTTGCAACGGTGTCTGAGACTCTTCTTTCCTGGCGTGTTCCTCATACCACTCCTGCAACCAGGCAACAAACACACAGAGATGAGCTCCCTCCTGCTCCTGGCTGCCTTGTTCCCCCCCCAAGGAGGACCCCAAAAGCTGCCCCATGTCTTGAGGGCACCGCGCTTGCTCAGGCAAACAGGAGCTTCTTCTGGGCTCCCCTTTGCCTTGTATCACCGGGTCCTGGAACACCTGATCTCTGGAAGGAGCTGGCTGCAAGAGGCACCAGCAYCTCAGTGCCCACACACACAGCAGTAAGTGTCAGCTATAGCCTGGGTACAGCTGGCCGAGCTGGCAGGACTGACAAACCTGGGCAAGGACACATCACTCTGCCATCTCAGAGTGCCTCTCCGTAGTGCTCAGGACTCTATTAATGCCTAGGACTCTGGCGCTGACATTACAGCATTTACTATCCCAAACTGGAGGCCAAGCAGGATACCCAGAGCACTTCTCTGTGGAATTCCAGCCAGCTCTGTGGCACGTAACATGTTTATTTGTTAGGTGGAAGAAGACTCAACCCCCTCAAGCTAGCTGTCCAAGGGGCAAAGGACAGATTTAAAAGGTTAGGAGATTAATGCTTTGGATGATAATCATTATATTAGCTAATGCCCTTCAACCTACAGAGCAAGTCTGGCATGTACTACGGTCACCTAATTCATGGCATGAGCTCCTGACGTTTGAAGGACATTAGTAGGGAACGTGTTAATCCCGAGAGTGAACATTTCTGATCCCGTTTTCAGCTTCTGTCCTGGAGGAAAGCTGGCGCAGCACTGCTGGCACCAAAGCCCAGCGCTGTGTCCTGGAGAACCCTCCCTCCACGTGCGCGTGAGGCACAGACACTCCCCAGCTCCAGCGCAATCACATTCCTGCGGCTTAACAAATTAGCAGCCAAACCCCAGCAGCACCTGACGCAGGTGCCCCTCACCCCCCCCGGCGAGCCTGGCAGCCTCGGAGAGCTGCAGCGCACACGTGTCCACGGAGGCTCTGAAGCACTCGGCGGGGGGGTTAGGAAAGTCACTAAATGCCAGAACTGATGAATCTAAAAAGATGAATCCACTGCCAACTCTTTGCACGGAGCTCGCAGCTGCCTGGGTCTTAGAGGCAGAGGTCTTCTGTGTTTAAAAGAGGGCGTGTTGTTTCGGGTAGTGAAAAGCCTTGCGCTCACCCCAGAGGCTGGGTGGGGTTTCCCACTCAGGTGCACGTACCTGTATCTCCTCCTCATACATCTTCATACTTAAATCACTCTTGGTTCTCGATCTGCGTCCCAGAAACAGTGTGGACATTTGCTAAAAGTGGAGGAGAAAGGAGAGAAAAAAAATAGAGAGAGAGACATTCATTAATCACCGAACTCATAGGATCAGCCCTCAGACCTTCCTGATGACACCCATCACCCACAGATGAGCTCAGGATACCCTGGGCTCCTTCCCCAGAAACATTACACACCCCCCGATGAAATTGCAGGCTTCGATAAATCACACTGATAGTTCCCAAAAGACCACAAAGAGCTGTGAGAGAGCAGCTCAGCTGGACACACCTCTGCCAGAGGCGCTTACTTAGTCCAATGAACGTGATACCAGCACCTGGAAGGGGCTCAAACTCGAGCCTCAAGGGAGGTCTCATCTCAGCACAAGTCCAGGTCCCCTTTGTCTAGACCACACCACTTACTCCATGGGCCCAAACTATTTATGAGCACAGAAAGCCAAAGCCTAATTATTCTCTGATTATATGAGTTATCTGAACCATACTGAAAGAAAAGAAATCCCATTAAAAGGCACAGCTTTAACATCACCTTTCTGTACTCCACTGCAAGGTTGAGGACAGCAATATTCYTCAGTTTATTGCTTTGAAAACAGTGCTTAGGATCAGTATCATTATCACATAGTGATAATGTGAACTTCACCTAATGTGAACATCGCCTATGCGAACAGGGGCTCAAACTTTAACTAGCAAGCCAACAAAGCAAATAAGTGTCACCTAAGAGACTGTAGCACTTGCTCTTTGCAGTGGTGAGAACGCAGCAGCAGTTATTAAAATACACATTTAAATTCCCCTCAGAAGCATGAAACAACAGCTCGCAGAGGTAAGAACAGTTATCCGTGCCAGCTTAGTTCTCCAGTTGTCAACATGCTTTTTTTGGAGTGGAAATGTAAACAGTGCTGCACAGAAAGGAAGTCTGGTGTTTGGAACTGATACTGTTGTATTGCTGCATGCAGTTTCAGGACTGTCTGAGCCACGTTATGCTACAGAAAGAGGCAGGAGAACTACAAGATGGTGGCTTCTTCAGAGAAGAACACACTTTTTTTCTAGGCAGTGCTGGGCCAGGACAGCTCTAAGCAAAGTTTGCATACTATTGCAATGAGCCTTTGCCAAAGCTTTTCAGAGCACAGGGAAAACAGAGTTGCTCTTTTCCTAAAGCAGCAAAATTCGATGACAGTGCTGCAAGGTTCCTTCAGCAATACAGCTTTGAACATCATGAAGTCACAAACAGCTTCTCTATGGAAAACAGTAAAAAGGTACTGGTGGCCCTACCAAATCTCCCTCCCCCTGAAGCAGAACCTGCAGCACCTCACTCCTCTTACCCCGTATTTGTCCATCTGCAAAACGATCTTCTGCAGCTGAGATGTCTCAGTGGCAGCGGAGCTCCGCTTGTACAGCTCTATTATCCCAATCACYTCCTCCTTGGTGATCTCCTTCTCCAGCACGATGCCGTTGTCTTCTGGAGGAACAAGGAAAAGGAAGCAAGAACAAAAAGTCACCAAGATGAACATTGCTTTCAACAGCCACTACAATAACACTGAAGGGCAAAGCTCAACCGCACGCAGGGTCCAGGCTGTGCCCACTGCTAAGCATGCACGTATGTCCTTGTTCCCCAACAAGGTAGCAAGGAAATAACTAGTGCATGGGCCAGAAGGCATCTTATTTTTTAAAGCACCAGGTTCCTCAGTACTTTAAGAAAATCTTGTGGCTTTTTGCTTGCCTACAAATTTACTTAGAAAAGCAAATAACTGCACAGTGATTGCTGCCTTTGACCTTCAACTGCCTAACAGAGCTTGAGAGTAAGGTATCAGCAAGTGTCTTTCACTGCACTCTTAAAACTGGAAAGACTGAAAAGTGGGTCTGTAGATGAAAATGATTGGTTCCTATGGGCCCGGACCTCACGTTTGGACCTTCTAGCACCTGAGAAAGACAAGGTGCTGATCAAAGTTGCTCCTGTGGCTGAGACTATCATACGTTTCTGCGAGAAAGATTCGCTGGTACTAAATACATGCAGGTTTGCTAGCTCTACCTTTCTCTTTCCATAGAAAGAAATGAAAAGAATAATTAAGAATGGAGGATGAATAGAATGGAGAATGAATAGAAAAGTGTGTTGTGAGGACCAGAGGGGAAAGCAGGACTACAGGAGATGCATGTGCTTATGACACCTAAATTAGCAGGTCATGAAGTTACATTCAGCTTCAAACACAAAGCTCAGGAGACAAAGGGCAGTGAGTAAATGCGGCTGACTCGCAGAGGTGTGATGGCAGAGAAGAGGCACTGTCAGTTCCTAAAAGGTACAAAAAGGCACAGCCAAAACCAGTACGTGGTCACCAGGCTAAAAGGAACTCGCTAGAGGCGAAAAGGATTGAACAATGGCATCCTTTGCCTTCTAAGCCTTGACCAGGAATGCTGCAAACCTCTTGGATCCTGTGTCTCAGTGCCTCAGCGCTGCAGCACCCAGGTGGACACAGGTCTGTGTCCTGGCGCTAGTAATAGCATATTGGCACAAAAGGGTGAAATTGATTTTAAATAAACATCTGCCCCCTCACAAGGTCTCTCATTGAGCTTTACTATTTTTTAATCTTTCCAACCATGTTTTCTAGGGTCCTTCCTTTTACCAAACTTGGTACTTGGACTTACGTTTGAATGATTTGCTTGAAATGCTCAAATAAATATTTATACACATCCATATAAGTGTATATATACATGTATTTATTTACACATGTATGTGCATATATTTATACATACATTACTGGGTGTAGACATGGGGTAGGTTTTGAAATAGATGAGGATAGAGCAGAAAGGTCACATAGTGACCACATAAAAGTACCACACAAAAGCACAGGCATGAGTTTAGGAAACCAGGCTAAAAAGAACCTGGTCTCTGCTGGTCAATCCCATTCTCCCCCAAAGATACAAGCCATCAGAAGACACAAAACGGTGAGTTGACCCCTTCTCAAGTCCTGACCTTCCGAATCCTGGTTCTTCCGTGTGTAGTTCATGCGGAAGACGAAAGCCTCCAGAATAAAGGCCACTATGATCGTCATCACCACCTGGGAGAGGACACGGACAGAAGAGGTCAGGAGGCTGTTGCTGGGAAGTTTTTCCAGCCCAACAACAGGAAGCTCAGCATTTGGTCTGGGCTTCACCTCCTGCTGCTCCAGCTCCTACTGGGCAGAGGGGATGGGCATGTCCCAACTCACCCATTTACTTGCTTTTTTATGAGTAAACTACAGAGAGTTGGCCACAAAAGGGACAGAACACAACCTTTATGCTGCTCAAGTCTTTATCCCAGGCCCAAATTCACTATCAGCTTTGACAATGACCATAAATCTTACAGATTCAACTTTTTTTCACGTGCCGTGGATGCATACCCGCTTCTGGAAGACATTATGTACAGGAGTAGAGCTGTCCTCATTTAGGGATGGAGGCTCCCACCAGAACATGGTGGAAGAAGTCTCCTGTCCCCATTCCCATTGCTTGATACACAAAGCGTCTCCAGAAACCTACCATGGTCACAATGTAGAAGATCATGAAGTAAAGACGGCTCCAGTGAGTGGTTTGTGAGGTCACCCCTTCCTAGGGAGGAGAGGAAAAAACATCAGTAGAGTGTAAAGGAGTGGGGAGCCTCCTGCTAACTGTTTGTCATCAGCTTAAAGCAGCACAAACATCATCTCAGATCCACGGCTTCACAGCTATAGCCCCAGTGACTACCTGCACATTGCTCAGTTCTCAGATTATAGCTAATCAGCCTCTAAATGCAAACAAACATAACTTAAACCCTGTGAGCATCAGAGCCATTGCTATTGTATGAGTGCAGCTTGGAGCGCAGGGTGATAAGCTGGGATAGGATGGACTTCCCTCTTCCAGATCCTGAAAACTGATCAATGTTCAGGAGAAACATACCCAGCCGGGCTTCAGAGATGCTAAATGTCACCCAAAAAAAACCCAGAGCAACAAATATTTGGCAATAGCAAGTGACAATGCTGAGCCTAATCCTGCACACCTCCAATTGCTGGAGGAGAAAACAGTGGTGGTAGAAGACCTAGCTCAGCAGTGCCCTGGCAAGGATCAGCACCATCTGTACACAAAAAGGTAGCAGAGTTTTACTTACCATGATGATGTACCAGTCGTTGACGACTGTCAGCTCAAACAGCGTGACTGTGTAAGAGTAGAAGAAAAAAGAAAGATAATTGCCTTACCCAAGTGGATCTGTTTCAGAATGATTATTAGACCTCAGCTGTCCCTGCCAAAGACTTTTCAAGACATCAAGTTTTTATACAGCCCACCAAGTTGCAATACACCCAGCAAATGCAGAGACCTCCATCACTGCAATTAGTGTGGCATCTTCTCATTGCCAAGACCCACTGAATCGGGAACATAGCTTGATCTGCTTTTTTTTTTTTTTTTTAAAGAAGAATCAGAAACAAGCCTGACCCTTTCCACATGACATCACGGATACCTTGGATGCTGCCAAGAGCAAATAAACATCTTTGGAAAAATCATGGAGAAAAAATACTCTATTCAAGTTATTCTTCATCAATAGGTTTAAAGAAATGTAACAGTATCACTGTTAGCTCCTCAGCAGGATAATGGCTTAAACCTCTTCTTAAACATCTATGGAAGTCTCATCTGATCACCTGTTAGAACAAGCCTGATGGCTTCACATTGACTGCTAAGAGAAGTCTGCTCACCTTGAAAAAATTCACAACAAAACTACTCAGCTGACGTTATCCAGACAGGAAGAGCAGGATGGGTGATTGTCTAAGGAGTATTGGCAGGAATTCCTGGGAGAAACCCAGGCCAATATGAGCACTGCAATCCTGCCATCCAGCTCTGCAGGAACACAGATGCATTAAGAAAYAGTCTTTGCTATGAAGCAAACTGCCCTTACCAAAGCTGTTCAAAATGTTGTCAAAATTGTTGAGATAGTAATAGCCTTCTTCCACAACTGTCTTGTTGCCAACGGTGTGGTTCACCCAGCGGTAAGAATCTGCTACCGTGCTTGTACTAATCAGGAAAACCAGGACAAAGAATGAGAAGAGAGATGGAAAAGCAAGAAAATCCCAAGGGCTACAGGTACCAGAATGCTTAGGAGGCTGCGAACAGGATGTTCAGCTTCCACTCTCGGCCAAGCCTGGCCTCTCTCTACAAGAGAGTCCTTCTCCTCCACCCTCACAGCTCAGCAAGAGCCCAGGGAACTCACTGAGTCTTTCCAGTCATTTGGCAAATATTAGACCAGAGAAAATGAGCATCTGAGGCAGAGTCTGTCTCACGCCCTTAACGCTTGGCATTTTCAGGTCGTCTGACATCATGTAAGATCAGAAGGCCCAAGGAGGTGAAGTGAACCCCCTAGATTTTCCAAATACGTTGCCTTGGCTACAAAGGTCTATTCCAACCCATCCTCTGGCCCCTTCTTTTCAGGGATTAGTGACATGGGAGGCGCGGCTCTTGGCTTTGCACCCTTGCACTGTAGAGGAGGAAGGATCTGCAGTACTCACTTGCAGCAGTTTGGGTAGACCACACCAGCGAAGAATTCCATGCCAACGATGGCAAAGCAGTAATAGAAGATCAGCAGGGTTAAACCCAGGCTGGAGGACATAAGCATGAAAAGAACTGCATTACTGAGAAGTCATTTACAGAGGGGAAAAGTTACAGGCTGGTAGCTCCAGAAAGTATTTTCCATAAATGGAAACAGCACTGAAAACCTCAGACCAGGCTCCCAGCGGTTGCTGCTCTGTAGTGTTTTGTCTGCTTTTATTGAAGAAGTCCTAGGACCAGGAGCTTACCCCTCACTGAAAAYGGACAGATCAGCCCATATGTTTTCTTGGCAGGTTGGACACGTCCCTATCCTGATGCCAGCCCCAGGCCCTCTTCCCTCTTTCCCCCACTCAAAGACAAGCAAGTCGGTACCTGGCCATCCGGGGGAACAACTCAAACATGGTGTCCAGGACATTTCTGTAACGCTTCTTCAATTTAAAGAGCCTGAAAGGAGAATTTTGCATGATTATCTATGCACAGCAACTTTCCTTGAGTTCTCAAATTGCTGGGAATGGTTAGAAGAGTATCACAGGTCTCCACCACAAGTCAATGAGCAGCTAAGGCCTCCTGACACCAAACTCATTGAATCTGTACTCACTCAAATACTCTGCTCACCTGAGCAGGTGTCTTTATCCCATTTGAATGCTTGTGACACATCCAAAAGTCTGCAGGATTAAGGCATCTCACAGAAAGGCTCTCATCTTGTTATAGAGCATGAAGCATAAATAGCTACATTTTTGAAACCACGGGAGCCTAAATCAGCTCTGTGTACAGGGTCAGGACTCATTTCTCCTTTCCCCAGGCACAAGCTTTTCTGTGTTTCCCTCGTGACTCAATAAAAGGATGAAAGAAAAAACCACATTCTGCCCACTAATGTCAAACTTAGCAATTTCATTGGCTTTTACAGAGAAGCATAGTTGCGCACACAGGCTTTAGCAGGGTAGCAATGGAGAAAACAAGGTTTTCCCCCTCACCCCRCCGACTGCCATTAAACATTCTTTAAATCTTCACTGAAGATAAGCCACTTCACTAAGCCACACTAGCTTTATTTTAATAAAACAATATTTTGACCCTCTAAAATACCTTTCATCGTGGCTCTCAAAGCTTTCTGTGAAGGTAACTGTACCTCCGCAGCAGTCTCAGCACGGGAGGGTTAATCATACCCATCTTGCTGAGCTGCAGAGATGTTAGAGCCAGTCTTGCTTATAGAGCGAAATGCAGTCCGAGCAGGGTTGTACTTCACCCTAGAATGCAGTATCCTTTGAAAACTGTAATTTCTGGTAATTCAATGGAAATTATTAAACTGGCTCAGACTGTCTCACCCTGACAGAAGAGCTTTTCTCTGAGCAGCATCAGACAATTTAGAGGAGGTGCAAGAACCCCACGAAGGCAGACATAGGATAATCTGCCCCCGGTAAATCCCTTGATCTCTATTAGAGATCAGCTTAAGCTCCAAAGCACGGGGTTTCATATCCCATCCCAAGTTTTTGTTATCAGTCATTTTGATAACTCTGCCTAATCTCATTACCCCACGTAATTCCTGCTTGCCATGGTCATGTACCCACAGAGCAATCCTTGCCCTTTCCTGCTAAGGAGCTCAGTCCCCAACGGGACTGAATGAAAACAAGGCTGGCTGTTTTCTTCCCCATCTATTTTCTGTACTCCCCACACAGCCTCCCTGTCTCACCTCAGCAGCTGAAGAGGTCGCAAGACCACRATGAAGTAGAACGGCTCCATGTTAAACGCCAGTGCCAGGAGCCCCAGAAATGCAAAGAGGGTGACTGCAAAGTCAAAGCTGGAAAAAAAACACCAACCCAAAACAGATATAAATATCACAAAAGCAATGATTTATCATTGGATTTCAGCAGAGAAGTGGCACTTGGTGCCACTCCACCCTGACAAGATGCACAAGGCCAGGCACAGAAGAATTGTAATGGCCTGCAGATGGCCTCATCTACWGGCCTAAAAGCTCTTCTCCAAAGCCAGTCGTCCCAACCCAGCAATTTTCACCACATCTCTCAAAACTTTAGCGCACACTTACAGATTCCAGCCCGACGACAGGTATTCAACAGGCCCCAGGCCAGTGGTTTTCAGAAGCAGCTCCACGCCATAAACTGCAGAAGACAACAGACAAGGACAGAAATAAGCAGCATCACAAAGAGGCCTCAACCAAGGCTGGTCCTCAAACATGCACAGTGCTTTAGGAATGTACAGAATTGCTGAACATGGGCTTAACAGAGTCCAGCCCATCCTCTTTATCCCCAGGGAGATGTCAAACAGATAACATTTTCCCTCCAAGGCACCACATTTGTTTGTATTCATGGAGATTTCTCTCCAGAGCAATCAGTTGGCTAACATACCATGAATGCTGAGGCATAAGCTCCTGGAGAAAAGGCCAGAATATCAGGTAGGGGATTCAGTCCTGCCTGTTTTATTTGCTTCTATCCCAGSAGAACATATTGGACTTCCCACAGCCTAGCCTGCAACCTGCAGGGAGATGCCTTCAAAGAGGAGCCACCTGGTAGCACCTTGTGGGCTTGCAGGCAACAAAATGATGACATGAACATGTCTTGTTCCAGGCATCCCAAAATTTTCCTCTGCAGGCTCCAAAGAAGAAGGTTAGAGGAGAAGAGACTGGATGACAACATCCTTGTAAAAGAAAGTACCAAGAGCCACTCTGCCTTCAGTCTTCCACAACAAGTACTTTGAAGACTCAGGAGACTATCAAGCAGGGAAGCACCAGAGCCACCCAGAAGTCAAACTGGAGGTTAGCAGCYTTTCTTAGGTTCTCCAAAGCAATTCTTACTGCAGCTTGACACTATTTTGAGGCAGTGACACTGGCAGGAGAGAAATGAATTCACAGCACTCAAACTCCATGGCAGCGCATAAAGGCCTGGTGCTTATGCTTGGGCTAAAAACRGGAGATTGAGGCACATGTTTATGGCAGGATGACATTCTAGTTGAAATCTAACAATCAAACAGTCACATTTGACTAATCCAGTAGTTTCAGCTAGTCCTTTCAGACCTCTCCTGCACCCTGCACTCCGACAGGGCTGCCTCGTGTTGTGTGGAGCCAGCTCCCACGCACAATCAGCTCAGAGCTGGTAATGCCTCCCGGAATAGCAAGCYCAGCGCGGAGCAACGTGAGCAGGGCCACACAGAGCCACCACAGGCAGCAGGAGCTTCTTTCTTTGCACGCCGTGCCCAGCCAACGAGGCTACTCTGCTCTCAGGGCTGAGCCAGCTTAGAAATAATGTTCCAGTCTGTGCAGAGAGGCTCCGCCGACTGCTGCAGCTCAGGGACAGGATGAGAGCAGAGCAGGGCACTCGCAGGTCTGTCTGCATGTGGACAGTCCCTGCCAGGCACAATCTGTGTACCTGTGACTCAGTTTTTAACGTGAAACTGAAAAAACACCTGGGAACAGAGCTGTCTGTGCTCCCCTCCTGCCCGGTTATAAGGCAATGCCACTCCTTACTTGTGAGGAAGACTATGTAGCTCCATGGGACGTTTCTGGAGAAGAAATTCCCTCCTGCAAGACACAAGAATGACTTTTTCTAGCCTTCTCTCCARTCATCCCAAAACATAGCCAAGAATCAAGCAACATTTCCTACCTTGCAGCATGAAGGTTTCAACAAGAATCCAAATTCCATTCACAGCCACCACAGTATCTGGGAAACAAAGCAAAAACCCATAGCAAAAGCATTCCTGGATCAGAAAATATCATTTTCCTAACCTCCTAATAGACTTCTGCAACAGAGCCTACAACACAAGACAAGYAACAAGGTCAGTGCTTGGAACGTACTTCCAACTTAACTAAAGGCTCCAACTCATCGCTTGGAAGAGTCTGAACTTCTGCCCTCAATTTTCCCAGCATGTGGAACATAAAGTTTCTTTGTCTCCAGAAGGAGGGAAAGAAAAGGAGGAAAATAAACAAACGCAAAACTACAACTCCTTTTACCAATAATTATCTTATACTCTGCTATGTTATTACATGCATATTTCATCTTCTTAGTTCTGAAACAGGCTCTTGAGAACCACTGTGTCCTCAATAGTGCAAAACAAATGAAGCAGGCTCCCCAAAAGCACAAGATAAAACTCCTATCAGTTTGCATCTTCCCCTTCTCCCCCATACACATAACCAGAAAACCAAAGACGGCAGACTGCTCTTTYGCATTTGAGTCTTCCCAAGCCCTTCACTCATTCTAATTTATCATCCTAACTCACAAAATCTTCTCTTTTGGCACTCAAAAAAGAAATTACTGAGTAAGAAGAGATCATTTAGAACAGAGCACCACAATAACCATGTTTTCTCCTGTACAGAGGAGACCCATCCTCACAGGCTGCACAGCTGCCAGGCAATCCCTCCAGTAATGAAGACGCTGAACTTCAAGCGCGGGCAGCACGAGAAGTCTGATGGGCTCCAGCAGCCTTCAGTTGCAAGATAAAAACCTCCAGGCCAACCAACCTGTCCCCTGCAACAAGCCAGGTCCTACAGAATCGGGTCCACACATGTCATAGGAAGTACTGAACCAACAAGGCTCTGCAGATGATTCAGCCACAGTGAGAAACGAGAATTCAAACTGCAGCAGCAGCTGGTTTCCTCCCTCTCCAGCAAAATTTTAGGAATTCCTATGTTGGCCATGGCTCAGACAGGAGACCAGGTCCCAACACACTGAATTCTTGCACAGACAGCTCTTGTGTGGCACAGACACAATTGTGTGGCACAGACACACATCCCTGATCCGCGTGACGCAGGCGGCGTGGCAGAAGACTGTTTGTTTCTCCTACTTACACATGATGTACTGGAACGCTCGTGACTTCACAAGGATGTTGATGCCTGCAGGAAGGAAAACAAATATTTATGCAGTGCTCTATAGTTCACACACAGCTTCCTCTATCTTCTCCCAAGAGATTTTTCTCATATCAATTCTTAGCACAAAAGCTAAATGCTTTAGAAGATTATTAACTTTTGTCTCCTGGGACCAATCTTCCTCTAGAACACCAGKGGGAATGGACTAGCTCTCTTTACCCACCCAGATGTCTTTTCTCCAACTACACCACAAAAATACTACGCAGATAAATACAGCCGACGAGGCGCTGACCACGTTTGGGGCAATGAATATGTTGGAAAGGAGGGCTCAGTGTATTAGCATAAATATGCAGGGCTCCTATGGCAGCAGTAAATTTGATTCAAGACAGCATTAACTGCCCCCATCAGCATAAAATATAGAAAAAGGAGCTGCAGATAAGTTCTTATTTCTGAATGGTTATGTTCTGTCAGGAAACTTAGGACAGGGGAGCTGAGTCACATTTGCAAGACAAATTACCCTGATGGATATTTCTGATCTCTTTCCCTCTCCTTAGCAGCTGCWCTTGACCTGTATGAGCACTGCAATCGCATCCTAAGTCTAGCAGCTTCTGCAATAGCACAAATCCACTGCACAGGCACTGCCGTGAGCTGCTGCTTGGGATACAGAGAAACAAACCTACAAACTCTGCTGGATGCCACAAGCAAATATCCCCAGCTAACCTCTGCGCCGGGAAAGGAATGCTGCTCGTCGTGGCCTCGGGAGCTGGTTCGTTACAGAGTATCTGCCAAGAAGCCTCTTATTTTATGGAAGTTGCTTTTTGGGTCAGAGCACAGGGAATAATTACAAGACAAATCTCCCTTGGAGACTCAGAGCCTTGGAAGCTCTGAATACAAAGCGAGCTGGTCAGCAGGCCTTTCTCTGCTGTTTACCAGGGACATTTGGGCACATGGACACACAGTGACAAAGTCCCTTGGGAAGGCCTGGTCTTCATAAAGAAATGCTTTCCATACTGGTGGAATGCATGGTGTCATTTAAACGCGACATGTTACCTTTAAAAATAAGGAATGCTGTCCGTGGAAGGTCATCAAACCAGTGCTCACGATTTCGTTTYGCCTGCAAACAGAGCAGCCTTGATCAGAGGCAGTCTGCACTACACCCAAACCAAAACGTGCAATGAGGGGGACCCACCACATGGGTTTCTTTCCCACCATGGGTTTCTTTCAGGTGGTCTTTGTTTCTTAACCTCTTTCTTAGTAATCACTGGCCTCCTTTGCTTTCCCTCCCACATGCACTTCCTCACTTCCCCACCTAGTAAATACTTACCTTCCATTTTAAGCCAACAACTTCATAGAAATTGTAAAAATCCTTTAGGCTGTAAAATAGAAAGCAGCATTTGATTAGAGCCTTGGAGTTGCTTTTATCCTTAACTGTCCTTGTCAAATGCCATCAGCAGAGAGTCGCTGGAAATTGTTAATTCCTTTCCAGGACACAACCACAGCAGCATTGAGCTGCAAAGGGTCCAAACAGAGCCCAGAGCCACCTTCCTTCTGCACAAGACCTAGCAGAGATCACTCCCCTTCTGCCTCCAGAGAAAACTGACTCCACGGAACTCCACGTTTTCACCATAAAGATCTCAGATATAGCAGGCTCCAAAAGACAGAGACCATACTACTCTCCTTAATTCTTCATACCTTACTTTTCTACTACCTTTGCAAATTTGCTTTTAAAGGTAGAAATGAATTTTGACAACAGATATGAAAGCAAAGAAGTCAGCACATTCATGAAACCCGAGTGACTCTAGGTCAGACTTTAGTGTCTCAAAGAGCAGAGGCTGAAATTCTCAGATGCAGACTAGTGTCACTAGGTGCCTAGATTTAAGAACTYTGTCTTTCTCCTTATGCCACTTTCATCATTTCTCTATGGTATTTAACCTGAAGGAGAAGGACTGGCACCAGTTTTACGGGAGACCTTTGCTCCAAGGCTGTCTGGGCCGGAACAAAGGAAGGGGAAGAGCAGCCCTCCTGCTCCAATTCCCTCTGCTTCCATGCTGGCTGCAGTTAGCTGCTCCCACCCTCCAGAATGGTAATTCTCTGCCTCATAACACAGAGGATGACAGTCTGTAAAGCTCCAGAAGAACCAAATTTTAATTAACAAAACTCTGGGGGGCACAGCCAGCTGCTGGAGGAATAAGAACTAGTTAAGCTGCGAGGCTGCACTGTGGGAAGAAGGGCTCCTTGCAGACTCCAGGGCTGCTCCTCAGTGTTCTGCTCCTCTCCTATGATGGGAGATGAGGGAAACAGAGAGCTTGGTGGCTGCCAGCAGAGCCCTGTATCCACAAGAGGGCACGCAGGGATTCCAGCACTTGGGCAGAACAAGCTTGTTTCCCAGYGCATCCCCAGCACAAGATAACTCCCGCTCCAGACACATTTCCTTCCATAACCCAGGCGTCCTCTCCAAGGTGCAGCCCAGCTGCAGAGAGTGAAGCAGCAGCCCTGCCCTGGGCRCAGCAGCAAGACCATCCTACCTGACTAAAGGAGTATTGCTTTGATTCAGTGCTTTGAAAGTGAGATACCGCTCTCTGGTACACATCCGAGGCTTGTAAAACCGCAGCAGCCCTTCAAAGTGCTTGAAGGAAACTCCAGTCGGCCTCTAGAAACAAGGGAATGATGCTATAAGCAAAGACATGAGGCAGCAGCACATACAGGCTAGTGCATTTAATTTTGCTAGTGCAAAGTGTGTTTGAAGAGGATTTCCACATGCCCCTAAGATGCCATTACAGCTAAGCCCCCAAAGTACCCTGAGCTATTACTTTACCACACTGAGTTTATCCCAGAGCACAGACTTCAAAAGCTTCCCTAGCAAAAGGTTCCTCCAGTGATTGCAGAATTGCTCCCCAATGTACTATCCCAAGCAAGTTGTCCAACCAGATATCCCAAACAACAGAGCTTAACTCTGCTTGGGAAACTCCTAGGAGTGTAGCAGGCCCCATTATTGGCACTTTTTTTCAGACCATCAGCCATTCTCCAGAACAGCTCATATAATGAATGAGCCCTAAACGTGAGCTAATCTAGTGGAAGAAGGTCYTCAGGTCTCAATTCTCTTCCTAAAGCAAGAAATCAACCTCTCCTGCAGTGCTCTGCCCCACACACAACTGTCTGTATGTGAATTACTTCTGCCTCTGAAGCTTCTGCTCAAGCAGTACCTAGTAACTGTTCCTTTATACGTATAATCCACACCTCCTCTAAGGACTGGTATTTGAGATGTGAGTCCTCAAGTGACCCACACTGATGCGGAGAGAAAAATCAGGGCTTGCCAGCACTGCAGGACAAGCTTCTTTTGTTTTATCAGGGCCCTTCCACAGCCTGGCATGGGCCTAAAACTCAGACTGCTTTGTTTTTCCCTCCCAAAATAAATAAAAATAAGCTGTACAAATGCAGAGCAGTAGCCCTTGGTGATTCGGGTTGCAATCGAACGTCATAAATCAGGTTTTTGGGGATACCCCTGCCCTCCTGCCTGCTACCTGCTTGGTTATGAGCAGGCGGTAGGCGTGCTGGATGGCCGCGCGCTTGTGCAGCAGCAACGACTTGAACTTCCTCTTCTCGATGTCGTTGAAAGTGTCGAACACAACGGCCAGGAGCTGCGCAGAGAAGACAGGAGAGGAAGGTGAGCTTTAATCCCTACGCTGCCTGGCCACCCAAGCTGATGCTTCTCCAAGAGGTGGGAAGAGCCTGCCTGGAGAAGCAGGGGAAAGCTTTGCCTGAAGGAGGAATCTTACTAAGTGCCAAACTAATGTGCAGTAGAAGGGAGGTAATGAGGGACCCTGAGCCRAAAGGCTACAAGGGGGTTACCAAACCACACCGCTTTTTGCAAGAGATTCACATGTATCTGGCCTCCTAACATTTGTTAGTGGTTTTAAGACCCAAGGCGAAGCTCCACACGGGGCAACAGAAAGACACTGCAGAAAGGCTTGTTAAAACGCCCTGATCTCTTCCTGCAAAGCAGATTTAAGGGCTGCTTTCAGGATACATCCTTCCACAGCAGCTTTGGCAAACAGATGTACAAACCAAACTTCTACGTCAGACAGCAGCTCTGAAATCCAAGCTCTTTGGAAGCACCAAATCGCTCCTCTTGTGTTGTGGGTTCCCCAGCTCCTCRGAGGGTCCCTCTTTCACAGCCCACATCCCTCCTGAGTGGCCTTGGCCCCGCCGGGTGCTGCAGGTCGAGTAGCAGAGCTGCCACGCTCAGCAGCACCCTCACAAACCTGCTCCAACAGGACACGCGTGGCCTGCCCGAGCCCGTGACCTACAGGGCATAATCCCACTCCTCCAGTGGCTCCAAACCCTCCTTGCAATCCCTAGTGGGTGCCGAACTGTCCGGYTTTCCAGGCTGGCAGCTGCACTCCCACCTCGCTGCTGTTTAATACACAGGCATCCACATAAAGCAAAGGCAGGAGACAGTCCTGGCAGCAAGCTCTGGGAAGGGAAGCGGAGCCGCAGCACAGCGCTGCTGCCAGGGCTATTGCAATTCCAGTCCTGCCACCCTCTGCAATTCCATCCCTTTCAAAATGATTTACAAAGGATTTCAGGCAAGGCCAGATAATAAAATGCCATTTTATGATAAATAATTAAGATGGGGAAGGACAATAAATTTCATGCAACTGTGTGTGTCACTCCAAGCAGGATATTAATGCGAGGGAAATCAAAAGATTATTTGCATCGCTCTGTTTTCTGTGATTTAATTCATTTCCTTACAGATGAATATAAAGAGACTCCTACCTGTAGCAAAAACATTCTGCCAAATAGCCTCAAATCGTTACACGGCTCCATTGGGAATTGGGAAGACTCCAGTGGGCAAGGAAATTCAAAGTCAGGCAGAGAGAAGTCAAGAGTTTCAACAAAACACTCACCAAGTTCATGATGAAGTACAGCTCAATGGAGAGATACACTATGAAGAAGACACAGGACCAGGGGTTCCGGGCATAGGATGGCATCATCACGTCAGGGAAGCTGTATCCCAAAAAGGCACAAGTTTAAGCACCCGAATTTCTAACACTATACTCTGTATATGTGGGCGAGAGCATGAGACAGGTCCCAGAGGGGCAGGCACCCACAGTAGTGGATCTGCACCTTTCTGCAGAACACCTAGTTGCTCATGATACTGAAGTCTGAACGCAGCAGGGAGCAGATAAAGCATAGAAGCATGATGAGAAAGAAGAAAAATGAATAACCACGTTCCCTGCACATCCTGAAACCCACACGGGTAAAGGGGGGTTGCACTAGGACTAAGGGTTGTGCTTTAGYAGCAGCAATGCCCCACAACCACAAAATAATCACACCAATCCTTGGGCTAAGAGTATTCAGAACAGCAAGCAAAGATTTATTCTTGGTCAATTTTGCAGATTTTGAATTTCCTAATCCTCTGAGCCCGCTCTGACAGCTAACCAATATTTGCTTAGTGCTGTTATCAACATTTCCTAGATAGGAAAAGKGAAGCAGAGGAGCTTCACAACAGCAAACTCTCACCAACAGAGGAGCACAAACAGAAACTTCCCCTCCTTGGATCCAGGCCCAATAAAGTCATCTCCCCTCTTATTGCCTGCACAGTGAGGAAGTGCTCTGAGTGGCTGAGAGATAACTCTGCATCCGAGGTCAGCATCCTAACATGAATAAGTTCTTCCCATGGAGAATAACCTGGGTAATATTTCTGTCATGCAGAGAAAAGGGGTCACATCTGGAGATCCAGCACAACTGCAGATAAACTCTTGATTCCCCTAGACTTCTTTGGGGAGGAAAGAGCAAGCCAAAACAAGCAGCAAACTTACTTGGAAGTGGTCAAGAGAACGAAGAGGTTCACCAGGCTGTTCTCTAAAGTACTGAAGTACTGAAAGAAAATAAAGAAATAAAAACATAAGCAGCTTTTCATAGTTGGGTTTTTTTTTTCCAAAAGAAGCCCACTAGAATACAGGCCCTTCTACAGGCCCTAGAAAAAGAGTAATTTAGCACTGGTCCCTTTTAGAGGCCCCAGAGACATGGCAGGTGAATGACTGAAAGCTCTCTGCACATTTTTGTAGTATTTATTCCCACTAAGCGACCAACAGGCTCAACAACAATGGGAACAATGGTCACGTGGATACCTTCTGCACTGAGGACAGCTGTGGGTCACGTTTGGCTGAATTAAGACATCAAGAACAAAGAACAACTTTACTGATGTTCCCTTTGGGTGTTCCTGCCTTTGAGGAAGTCTCATTTACTGTCTTCCTTCCCAGGAAGGGGAAGGAAGTTAACCCAAAGCAATACTGTCAAGAGGCCTCCTTGGTCACAACTGCTGCTGCTCCTTCTCATGACTGGCACCAGGTGGAATCYAGCCTCTTTGAACACCATATGGGAACAAGTCACAGCTACTCAGAAATGCTTCATTCTTAAACTGATCAAAATGGGACTTGAGACTCAGTCCAAAGAATCAGTGATTACTTACAGGATCCGAGTGGTTAGGAGAAAACAAATAAAAACCTAGAAAAGAAAAAGAGAGGGAAGAAGGGAAAAGAATGAGGAACACAAATTAAGATGTTTGATTTCAAGTAAAACTACTAAGTCTCTGCTCCCAAATAGCAGGCTGTACTAAGAAGTGAAGCCCTCTCTGATATCCTGAGGAAGGAGGTCAKCCCTCTCCATACAGGTTTGCTAGTGCTTGTCACTGGTATTTGACTGATCCTTTCAGAAAGTAAATTTTCTGTGATTTTATTTTTATTTATTTTCTGTTATTTATGGGACAGACCCACAGCAGGTATGGGACAGACCCGTGAATTCCTTGGAGTTTAGCTTGAATTTACYGTATTGAGGAATAGATCCCAGAAACAGAACTTGGAAACTACATGTATAAACACCACAAATTAAGCTCTGGAAAAAGTGAAAAGGACTTTTGTCACCAAACCAAATGCCAGCTCCTAGAATTTTTAATTCATTCTTTAAATACATCTCCTGGACAGCTGTGGAAGAAGTCAGCTAACTGGAAGACTGCGGACTCAATGGGATGAGCTGCATGTTCATGCAAGTTGTTTCTGCTGCCCTTAGACAATATCTGGTTGAGATTATCACAGCTTCAACTTCTGGCGGCACAACTCACCCAGGATGGCGAAGATGACCATGAAGAAAAGCAGGAGGAGGAGAATATCAATAAATGGGGGGAGGGACTGGAAGATCTGTCGTAGGTTTCTGAAAAGGGAGAAAACCTTCTTGAACAAGAACTTGTGTGTGCTTCCACATTGGAATGAAGCCTTCCTCTCCAAAGGGAGGAAATAAAAATAACAGTGAGGAAATAAAAACAGATTGGAGGTCTTTTCTTCCCCCTACTTTCAGTGATTATACAGAGGAAACTCAGGACAGGAAACACTGTCCATTCTGCTGCTGCATGCAAGATGAACCTGGAGAGGCTTCTTGCACCAGTGACAGTACCACACAAGCACCCTGGACACATCCAAAACTACTAATGAAATTTCCCAAGGCGCTGGGTACACTTGAGTCCCAGTCACAAAACACTCAAGATCTGAAATGCCCGTGAGAGGCACCTATTTTCCCCAGCGCCCTCAGGACCAGGGTGCTTTTCCTTGACTCACCTCCTGACCGCGCCGCAGTACCGACAGTCCACCAGGAAAATACAGCGCAGGGCTCTGGTGATCCGCACGTGTGAGGTCTGGCGCACCAACACCACGATGGCCTCTATGAACTGCACGAACAGCACGCAGGTCTGCCAAAAATAAATAATATATTTGTAAGCATCTCAAGACAGCTACATTCTCCATTTGGGRAAAGCAAGGCTCCCACTGGACGCTCACCAGTTTGGGCGTTTCAGAGGTGGGAGGTGGCTCTGAAACCTCTCATAAATAGCTTGGCAGTGGGGACACAAGCCTAAACCTTCCCTGCTACTGTAGAGCCCAGCAGTTACTGTGGCTCCTTGGTTCCTAAATACGCTGAAAGAGAAACACCAGCAGGAAGGCAACTTACCTTCACCATGGTCCTTTTGTGCCTGATAAAGGTGTGGAAGCCCAACCACCTCATCTTCATGGAGAGCTCAAAGACTACCACGATTAATGCAAACAGCTCCAGGGTTGCATGGACCTGTTAGAATACAGCAAAGCTTAAGCTGCCCTTTCCAATTACACAAACAAGCAGAACACACTGATACTCTGCCTTTTGTAAGGAGCACGTGGATTTAACAGTAGTTTTAAGTAGTGGAAACCCAGAGAACCCAAGGCTACCCTTAAGGCTAGCATGGCATTCTCAGGCTTTCAAAGTTTCTGCATTTATTGCTCTGTGCTTTGTGCTACAGATTTTTTTCTCTATTCAGTATTAGTCTGGAATTTCCCGRAAATCCATGTTACTTTTAGAACTTGGATAGCATATCAAAAAGACAATTTTTTGATTCAAAACAACATACCAAAAAGACAAGCAACCAGCAATTCAAGCAGATGTATTTTGAAAGTTTAAGACTGCAACTTTTTTAGCAAATTGTAAGAATGAGATTGAAAACASAGAATGCCACACAAAGAAGAGGACAGAATATATATACACGCACACACACATATATATGTGTGTGTTTGTATGTATATATAAAATATGTATTTTTTTACAATCTGAGCTTTAGCTATAGCTCAAAACTCCAGTTAATTTATGCAGTCCTGACTCATCTTGAAAAACATTTAGCCCCACAGATGCTAAGCTCTTCTACAACTCTTGGCAAGAAATGGGGAGTGCGCTGATAGCCGTACACTCATCACAGCTGGTTATCCCATCTCTAAATCTGCACTTTGTGAAAATCACAGACAAAACTTCAAATTACTTAAACATAGAAGAGTCCTCTCAACATTACCGTTCTGATGACAGGACACAGGACGGTTCAGCAGCTTGGCCAAAGCTGCAACTCTTTGCGTTCTAGGAACCAGTGGGTAACATGCTGGGGTAACAGTGCCAGCCACAATGACTTTAAAACCACCCCTTCGAGGCCTCACAGGTTCTTGAGTCATCCCAAATAAAAGCAAAACTGACACTTCTCAAACATTTAAGAAACTTAAGAACCGCACCAGCTTGATAACACAGAGCAAGTGTCACTTTTGCTGTTGGCCTATATGCACACCGGATGAAAGAAAAGGATGTTTTGCTGGCTGACCAACTAACACACCTGGCTCTCGAGCCAGATAGTTCTTCCTRCTACTCCTCATCCTCTTCCTCTCTGTTTAATCCTCTTTTTTGCCCTAAGCCACCCTTGCAAAACCCGCCGACTTGCTCGGTTTGCCGCAGGCACTTACGTAGATGCCCAGCCGGAGCATGGGAACGGCTGGCGCCTCGCAGAGCGACAGCAGCAGCAGCAGCAGCGCTGTGCTCAGCTCCATCAGGTAGAAAAGGTGGTTGTGTGCAAAGAGGTAGGCAGCAAGTGCTTTGGCATTCTTGGGGTGGGTGAAGAACTTATCATTGTTTTCTCCTTCCTAGAGCAACGGGAAAAAGAAGAGAAGAGCATTAATCACTCCTGGTTCTCTAGCAGAGCTTTCCACCTGAAGAACACAGGTTTCTATACGGATTAGATTGAAATCCTAGCAGGATCTTGCTGCTTTGCAGCCTGACAGTGATCTGTTCATTGAGGAATGAATGCCACCCACGTGGGATATCCCCGTCTGTTCGAAAGGAAGTCCATTTCAGCAATGCAGCTCATTAATATCTACAACCTCCAGCTTCAGAAACCCTCGACTCTTTTCAAAATGAGAAAAGAGTGCTGAGATTTTATAAAGGTGGGCAAAATTCAGTCAACACACCAGCACAAACACTGTGCTTCATTTAGTTCCAATGCCTTCCACGTGTTTACAGACTTCCTTGGTTAAACTGCTCTAGGCCAGAACTTGAAAACACGCAGATAAGCTCCAGGGCACCTGGCTGACAGTTGCTCCTTCTTATCTTGGCCTTGCAAAATGTCTGGGAGAGAACACGCTCTGGAGCACACACACAGTGAAGGAACGTGAGAAGATGGACTCCTGGAAAAATCATCAAGTCTCCATGCCAATTAGTCGTTCCTCTTTAACTAGAAAGCTTAATTAACATTAAAAGGTCAGATACTCCAGCTCAACAGTTTGCTTGCAACTGATTTTAAACAGCTGCTTCATTACTGTTTTTACCTCTAGGACAAAGCTTAGTTTGCTTTAAAAGCTTGTGTGGGAATTTAAAAAGCGGAAGGTTTAAAAGCTTATRTGAGAAATTAGAGAAGTTTTTTTCAAGCAGAAGCATCCAACAGCTTCTTCCCTTTCTTGCTTCAATAGCTTAAGCAAGGTAGCTTTTGTCTCTTGCAGAMAACTTGCTCGTTCCTAGAAGCTGCTATAAAAGATCATTTTTTCCCCTAGCTGCAATGCTCTGATGCACACCAAATGCTTTTTTATTAACATCTTTCCAGGTAAGCAAATACTGTAGGGACAGCAAACTATTGCTACAGAAGTGGGGGGGGTTGTGACTGCAAATGGACAGCAAGTTCAAGAAACAAGATCCCCCTTAAGAAGGGAAAACCTCTCAAGATGGATGCAGAAAAGGGTTTCAAATGCTTCTCGTTGAGGCCACCTCACAGGCAGCCTCGCATTCTGTTTCAAAACAACCCAACAGTGCCAGGACAGCGAGCCAGGTTGCCGGCAGGACAAAACCCAGCAGCAAGTGCCAGAAAACACGAGCCCCTGCTCAAAGGCCGAGCTCGCCTGGCTCAGCAGGGCGTTCGCACTCACGCCTGACAAAACACATTTGCAGAACGAAAAATCGCCCAAATTCTGCCTCTTGGTAACCAAGCAATCCAAAACGTGGCTGGACAGCAAAGTCCTCTTATTGAGATAAGAGGCTCTTGCCTGCAGCTACTGGTTCAAACAGACAATCTGCACGCTCTTTAAGTGATGTCTGCTTGGTTTCAAGGACGTTGTCATTACGGCGCTGGCCAAGGCGGCATCATGCGCATGGGCAGGGCCGACCATCGGCTGCAGCAGCTCCATGAACCTTTACAGAGCATCCCCCACAACCAGGAGCTGGAGAAAGCCCAAGGGGTTGGTGCTACCCTTGCATGGTCACTGCTGCTCTACATAGAGCTAAGAGAGCTGATGTTATTATTAAAGTCCATGCTAAGGGTTTTAAGGGTGTGAGGAGTGATACTTCCATCCTGTGGGGCAGCAGAAGGGAGGGAAGGATCATTTCAATCACCTTACAGTAGCATAGGCAACAACCCTGCCTGGATCCAGTCCACCTCATGCTGCAGTGCAGTCTTTGAGAGGGAATAAAGAGGAGGAGGAGGAAGGAAGGACAGTCATGGAATCAGCGATGACTGCAGAAAACCAGCTCTGGGAGAAGTGCAGATTTGGCAGGCAATTCGCTGCACCTGCAGAAGCTGTACAACAATCTTGGCAAAGATATTATTGAACTTTCCTGAGGTATATACATAGAGGATGTTGTGAGTTTTGTTGGTTTGTCGTTTTTTTGGATGGGGGGAGGGTTGTTTTAGTTTGTTTTTAAAGAGAAGGAGGCTACATTCCTCTTTTGAGTTGATCAGGCCTCATCACAACCCGCTCTCCCTCCAGGGATGAAGAGCTCCAACCTCRCTCATATTTTTTGTGTGACTGAAGCTAAGTGAACATCCAAGAGCCACTAACCAAACCTGAGAACAAACCAGGATTAGAATCTGCACTTCCTGCGCACAACGTGCCTCCCAAGGAGTCTTGACCCCAGAGCAACTGAGGAGGTGAAATGAAAAAAATGACCATTTTTACAGCGGGTACTGAACTGCAGGGCTCACCTGGAGGTAGATTGCTGCCTCCTGGTAGTTCATCTCCCAGTTGTGTTGGGCAGAGCTTTGCTGCGCACAGCAGTCGCCCGCAGCAGGGCTGGATGCATCATGAACGCCGTCGTAGCTCCCTCCATCTGCATCAATACAAGAAAGGAAAATTTGATTTACAATTAAGCAAACTGCAAACGAGCCACACAGCAGGACCAGAGACAAGCACCGAGGAGCGGCAGAATACCCAAGAAACCCACAGTTTGTACGCACACTAATTGGGCTCTTCACACGCAGAAGCTTTCAAGCCACTCGAACCAAGCACTTGAATAGAAGAACATTCCCAGAACATCATCAGAAGAGGCAGAATCCCGTTTGGGATCAACGAATGCAGAACAAGCGGGTCTCCTGACTCAGGAGCTCAGGAGCTGCCGTGTTCACAGCTCAGTCCAACCACAAACAGGCAGCTGAGCAGCTCCAAGGGCATCCAAACCACAACACACAAGCRAGCTGGCCACAAAAACCATTGCCTTTTGGCACTGAGTGGGAAAAGACAGCATGGAAGAATTATGACTCCAACCGACAGGTAAAAAGAACTGCTTTAAGGGTAGAAGCTGTATAGTATTATTAGTAGAATTGTAGTATTTTCTGTAGACAGCCCGATTTCTCAGAGCTCTCCTGAGCCATTAAACAACACATCTTGGCAACACTTTCCTCGGCGGAGGTAACTACTAACATCCCGCTGATGAAAATAAACAGCAACATGAGTTATCTGCCAAATCCCACAGCTTAGCTTTGAAACTTTTTAAGAGCCTGTCTTTTTTTTCTGTAGATCACTATCAAACAATGCTTTATGGAACATACGTACAAGATCTCATAGCTATAAACCTCATTTAAAAGAGCATCCTATAAACCTCATTTAAAAGAGCATCCAGTTTGCTCTGCAGAAAAAAAAAATAAAATACTCCCCCAAGCAAAGCTGTACATACATCTTGCCCTCTCTATGGGAAGGGTATGTAGAACAAGTACATAAATGCCAAAATAATTCGCTAGGTTTTTTATTCTACAGTTTCAATGCAATAAAAGACACATGGAACTTGTGAAAAATACTATTGTTCAGAAAGAAATAAAGGGATTGGCACTTGGTTTCTTCTCCTGGAATGGCAGCTTTTATTATGCATCTGTGATGATGAAAAGTAATAGTAAAGAGAGGCCTCACAGCAATTCTTAGTGCCAGGCAGCCTACGGGATGGGTCCCAAGCGCTCGTGAGCGGCGAGACCTGCGGGGCGCCACACGAACCCTGCGCTGCCGCCGGCCAGGCCCCYGCTGCTGCTCCGGAGCCTCAACCCGTGCCAAACCCACAGGGTTCTCAGACAGGGCACGTGTGAAGGTTTTTGCCAGCCTCAAAGTGCTGATTTCCCCCTTGCCAGGGGCACAGAAGCTGTGCTGCAGCCGTTTGCTTTGCCCGTCTTGTGAGAAGGTAGCAGAGAGGGGGAAAAATTACAGCGAGACTCTTTTCTGCTCACTGGTAGCACGTGGCAGCTCTGCCGAGGCAGTTGCCTCCGACAAAATAATCCTCACTGAACAACTGATTCTGTTTTCCCAGCCTTGCTGCAGAAGCGGGGAGAGAATCCACGCCACAAATCCTCTACTGATCAAAAGAGATGTTATTGCACGTACCTGACAAGGAGCCATGGGAAGGGATCGAAAATCCCTTGGCCAGTGCAGAGCCACAGCTGCTTTTTTTCCCCAGCCAAGCAAATAAAGATAATACTTAGCATGTGAGACTTGCAAAGACTTCCCAGATCGCACGGCTTAATGCTGAGCGGCTGCAGCACAGGCCTGTTCCCCCCTTGTCTTCCGCAGCCTTTTGCTGTTCACCACCTGGCTGCATGTCTGGATGAGGCCAATTCCTCATCCTGTTTAACTCCTACGTGAGCACAGCTCTTGGGAAAACTGCACGTTGGAATTTGCATTTAGTCCCAGGACTGAAAGGATGGTCCTCTGGGTCTGTATTGTGCAAAAATCAGAAGCTTTACATTGCGAGTGCAAGGATTTTTTTTAAAGTTATTATTTATGAAGCTCTTATTGTATAAGTTTCAAAGTGCCAAGCTCTCCAAGTGCAGYCTGAGAGCAGAAACATTTCTGCACTTAGTGTCTAAGGGAGCTGCAGGAAGAACACGGGAATCTTCATCTGAACCTGTCAGTCTCACTCCTAATGATCCTAGTGCCCAAAGGACGGACACACCAGCTCTTTGGGGGAAGAGGGACACGTTAATTAGGTTATTTAAAATATTACTATGAGATTTATAATACCTACACAATTTTTAATACCTACACAATTTTTAATACCTACACAATTTTTAATACCTACACAATTTAAGAGCAGCAGAATGGATTCTGGAGAAACCAGCAAAGGTCTGCAGCCTTAGCCAAAGTCAYCTCATCCCAACAAAAAAGAAAAGCCAAAACTTCCTTTAACTTCTGAAGTAATTCTTTTACAAAGACAAACCCAACTTTGAAACGCATCCAATCTATGCTAGGAAAGAAAACAAAAATTACGGCATATTATTAGAAAAGTCATCCCTGGCATCTCTCTGCTCTCGCTGCACAAGAAACTCACTGCTCTGCAAAGAAGAGATGTCCCAGGGACACCAAGCGTGCAAATACGAAATAGCTCTCCAAGATGCAAGTCAAAAACAAAGGTTAACTCCAGAAACCAAGGGTTTTTCCTCCTGCCGAAGCCTGGCATCACCTTCCTAGGCACTGACAGAACAGAAAACRCACGGGCGCAGCGTTTCCTCGCAGCGCTGCATTTAGCAGATCATCTCCCTCCCCATCAGGTACCAGAAGGCTGATCGAGTATCCCCGAGGCAACAGCATCATCTGGGTAATAAATAATAATAAAAATAATAACAAATTTGAAAAGCATCTCGCTGTTTGCTTGGCAGCCCTCCAGCTAGCTAATTTCCTCAGCTGCTCCCCTGATAACGATGACACAGACTAATGGGAGCTCCGCTCGCGCCGCGGCGCTTCCCCGGCGGCAGTTACCATTAGTATCTAGCTCAATGAGATAGGAGGATCTCTCCACGGGGCTCCCGCAGTCCTCCAAGTAGATGGCAGGCAGCTCTCTCTCCCGCATGGCAGCGYGGGCCTCGGGAAGCGGGCACGGACACGCGGCGGATCCCGAGGAAAGGGCTTCGGGCGGCTGCTGCCCCTCCACGGGCCGATGCTCGAGGGAGAACCGCGCGCCAGAGGGTTTCACTCCGCTCACGGCAGAACTGACCGTGTTTTCCCCTCCCCTCTGAGGAAAGTGGCTCAGGCTTCGGTTAAACTGCTTCCCTATGCTGTCTTAAAGGCGGGATATTTCTAAGTTGAAGCTCGTCGAAGGTTTAGCTGCTGACAAGGAGCCCCGAGGAACGAGCGCGGTTGTAAAACTAAGGGGCTCCTTTGCCCTGCTCTCTTGTTTGGGCTTATGCAGAATTCGCTCCCCTCAGCGAACAGGGAGAGGAGGCAAAGTGCTGACCAGGCTGCAAGGAGTCTCCTCCACCCCTTCGGACAAAAAAATAAATAAATGAGATATTTGTGAAGTTCATGGTACAAAGGGCGTGACAAAGTTAAGCGAGCCGAGCTGCTCGCAGATGGCGAAGTTCCCTTCCACACTTGGGTAACTGGTCCCAGACGGTCCCTGAAAAGACAGAGAAGGAAGAAAATATATATATATTTATATATATATATATATAAAAGGAAAAGCAAAACCAGCTGGCTGCTTACACAAGGCATCCGGAATGATACTGCCGGGACTCCAACATTTCCATTCAGTGCAGCGGAGCGTACTCCTGTGTAAATAGTTTCCATATGTCATCATTACAATAAAAAACAACAACTAAAAGAAGAAAAAAAAAGAAAAAAAAAAAAAAAAAAAGGAAGGTGGAGCATGAAATTTCCACAGCCCAGACATCTCCCTCTGCAAAACAAGTTCCCTGCTTGAATGAAGGCAAGTGTCTCAGCCAGCTCAGAGCAAAGAGCCTCAGTACGGACGGACGGGACGTGGGCTGCTCCCCGGCCACCGCAGACCTGGAAGATGGAGCCGGGAAGGGAAAAGGAACAGGAAAAAAAGCCTTGGGAATCAGGAAAAAAAATGCCTTCCCCAGCCAGGCTATTTTATGCCCAACTGTAGTAAATTTGAGCATGGATGCCATTTCATTTYTCTGATCTTTGGTGTCTGCCTTTGTTTCAATTAAAAAACAAACAAACAAAGCCACACAAACCCAACAAATTAGTAACCAACGCAAACACACGGAATTATAAACAAACTCTACAGGGTAGCTCCTACATTTGCCTTAGAGCTCCCCCAATCTGGCTCTCATTAGCCGGTTTCCCAGATGTTCTGCTTTCTAGATGGTGCACACTTTTTACATGGTGTTAAATTGAAACAGCCTGAGATGCCTCTAATTAGCTCCTCCACAGCTCCAGCCTTGGCGAGGAGGTAGCAAACACTCCAAACCACGGCCCTTTCCCTGGCTTTCTCCTGGAAAGGGGAAGGAAGAGCTCCACGGAGCTGCTGGTTGCCTTCCTGAACAGACAAGGCAATTGGAGTATATATATTTGTAGTATATTTGTAATGAGCAAACTGCCCGATTTGCATGGAAGGCAGGGCAGCTACTAAAACTCAGCAAACATGCTCTAAGCCACCACTCATTCTGTCTACGTACCACACACGGCCTTAATGCAGCGCAGCAAAATTCAAGTCATTAGTCCCGTGGTGGGGGAAGGTCCAGCTGTCCCAGCTCGTGGCCTGGGCAGTTCCAGCACAACTGGAGAAGTGCCAGCCGCAAGGGAGAACGAGGAGGAGGACAGGGGAAGAGAAGGTAAACGGTCAGTTAACCATCAGACTCTTTSTTAATTAAATATAACCTGTTATCAGCTTCATCTTCCTCTTTTCAATGTAGGAGTCCCACACGGCTACAAAGGCCGGTCAGAGCTGCTGGCTCCCTCAGTGACTAAGCACAAGGTCGCAGGGAAGATGAAGGTGGCTGCAGGAGGACAGCAAGTGTCTTCTTGCTTTCCAAGCACGGAGGCACACGTGGATCTGGATCATCTATCCAGGAGGAAATATGGGAAGCTGCCTGGAAAGTGCAGCTG